AATATCTTCAACTTCATCTCTGCGCAATAAATGTGAATAGAAAAGCGCGGGCACCTGATTCTACCACTGCACTTCCGTACCAGTTGAGAATCAGCCATACCTCCAAAACATAACAAATCGTCTCAAATGCAGATAAACCACGCCGAACCTCCAGGACCGTCCCTTGACCGACAACCTGATGCTCATAAATAGAAATCGGTAACTCCCCAAACCACATCTTGTCGAAGAGCGTGTATGCGTAAACTCCAAAACCAAAACCAAGAAACAAAGCGATCCAGCGACTGAACGGATATGCCGAAACCCTATCGGAAGGTACAGTGCCGACCGAAGGGGCTGCCATTGTCGAAATAGAGAGGTAATTACCGGATCAAGGAATCGCATGGCGACGTTCCATGATCCCAAAATCCACCGCGTCGTCCAAGACCAGCGTCAAGTCTGCATTGATGCAAAGATCAACGACACCACGGCAGTTCCAATATAGTACAGCGGGTATTCCTTTTCCATCCTGACTTTTAATGACTCTCCTCCTCTAGAACCTTGATCCTTGCTTGACCATCCCCCACCTTAGTGGCTTGGGGGTTGCGCGTTTGCTAAGCCTGGTTAGTTCATCAACTAAGCCACCCTCTGTCTTTGCGACATACATTGGTAAGAAATGCCCTGGCTAGGTTGCGCATAGGGCGAGTGAGGCTGGTAATTGGAGTACATATGGCTGTTGTTGTAATCGGGAAGTGGCTGTTGAGGAACCGCCGATGGTGGAGGCGGGTACTGAGCAGGCTGGTAGCCGATGGGAGGCAGCTGAACAGGCCGTGAGCCGGGGTAGGATGAGGTAGGAGTGCCATCAGGTCCCTGGGGGTCGGGACCTCCGTTTTGAGCAGCAGCAGCTGCCGCTGCCTGGCGTTGTCGCTCTTCTTCGGCCTTGCGATTGGCCTCTTCTTCCTTCTTTCGCTGCTTCCACTCCTTTCGGATCTCCTTGAATTCTGTGTACATGGGTAAGTGCATGTTCATTGTGGTCAAAATACGCGTTTAGAACTCACCCTCGGGAGTTCGCTTCTGTCCGTGAGACTGCATGGTAACGTGAGCATTCAAGTGGTTCAATGTACCGTAGGCCTTTTCGCAACCGTTCCAGCCACACTTGTACATGCGCTCAATCTCTTCATATCGTCGCCGAGGTCGCTTGTGCTGCTGCGCGCCTGGAATAGGCACGAAAGAGTAGACCTAGGACGGGTTAGACACGGTCGAGTATGAAACTATCAACAGACCCCGCATAAAACAAGTTTGTGACTTGTGAACCAACGCGTCCCAAAAGCTCAAAGGATGTCACGCGCAAGGTTCTCATTCAAGCTCAACTCATCTCATACATGCCTGTCCAATTTCAACATACCTGGTTGGGTCGCTGAGGAGGGGGCGCTGAGGCCGGGTTCTGGGCGTAAACTGGATGACCAGGAGTCAAAGGCGCACCACCGTGCTGCCCATAACCAGCCCAGTCTGGCCGAGGCTGCGCATACATGCCTCCACCAGGGTGAGGGTAGCTGTGTGACATGTCTGGGTTGGGCGCGTAGGGAGAATGCTGCCCATAAGACGCGTAGGTAGGGCTCGGGGCGGCGATGGACGGATCTATAGGAACATCGTTGTCAGATTTGACCGGATGGGTCTGATGGCTACGCCCATCCTGCTGGGGCATTGACGGACTGTTCTGTTGTTGCGCCATACTTCCACTGCTGGCGCTGCTTGCAGGATGGTATGAACGCTGGACGTGCTCTGGGAAAGATCCTGATCGGGCAGTATGAGGGTAAACGCCGTACTCGGAGGTGGGAGTAGCCGATGTCGAGTAGTTGACTTCCTGCTTGACAGGATATTGCGCAGCAGATGCGTGATCTGCCCTCGAACCTTCAGAATTGGTGTCGCCGAAGTTGCTTGGATAGGGCGAAGGCAAACCTGACTGCGAGTACTCCGGAGCACTTCGTTCCATAGAGTTGGGAGAGCTGAGGAGCGTGTCTAGAGTCGCCTCGGATCCAAGTTTCGCGATGTTGGAAACAGTGTGTAGCGATGCGCGGTTGTCAACAAAAGTATGATGTTGCTGTGTTGGCACCAAAGACATGCTACAGCTCCACGGGGCTGATGATAAAGAAATGGCCGGCGAGGTTTTAGCTCAGACCCGCGTCAAGTTGGTGTTTGCCGGTAACAGGGGAAAGAAGGGTAATGGCTGAGCGCTTGCAAGAGACTTGCGGCGGCGCGGCAGTATATGTTGTTGGCGGCGGCAGTAGTAGCGCCGTTTGCAAGACCAAAGGTTGGTTTATGGTTAAGTGTGTGATGCGAGCACCTAGGCCGAGTCCTTGGGCGCGGATCTTGCTGGGGAGGGAAGATAGAGATGGGGGAATGGAGCCTAGGGCAAGGATAGTTCGCTTTTCCTCGATCAGAGAGAGGTCGGGCTAAGTCGCCCGTAGTTCTTGGGGAGCGACACACTAATATAGTGCGATGTTGAAATCGGCCTGGTACGGTGGACTCTGCCGAGAGCCCAGAGGCAAAGAGGGTCTAGCGTCTTGGAGCCTGAGAGGGACCAGGGTGTGCAAAGTATATCTCCCACGATACACTGACTCTCGTCGTGCTGAGAGCGACTCGCGACCTTGCAGGGGGATGGGGGGTGGGGGGTGTGCGTGTCTGCAACTGTGAAGAAAGCCTCTGTGATGACGGAGAGGGGCGGGACCGAAAAGAATTTTATACAGTAGGGTCCCAAGGGGAGGAAAATGAATGACGGAGTGATGAATAGCATGCACTCCTCCGCAGCCTGGGGGCAAAATGTTGGCCGTCTCAAGGTGGGACCAGCCGGTCGGGAACGCAATGAACCTATCTATGTATGTGTTGTATGTAGGTATGCGCGCCGAGTACAGTAATTTTCAATAATCAGAAGCCGTCAGATTTGGTGTTGTTGGCTAAAAATCTGGATGATGCCGAAATTCAACCAACGAACGGATCACAGCGAAGTAGAGACTGTAGTAAGCAGGAATTGGTCTGGTCTGGTCTGGTCTGATCTGATCTGGCCAACCCAATCCAACTCAACTCAACTCAACCCAGGGCAGTGGCAGTGGGATCCTGCGCTTATCGACCTTTGTGGGTAGCGTGGGTTTTGTTTGAAGACGAGGGGTGTGCAGTGCAAGTTTGGTGCAAGCTTTTTGAGAGTAGTAGTAGCAGCAGCAGCAGTATGTACAGTATCACTGAAGAAGAAACAGTGAACAGGCAGGCAGCGCAGCGCAGCACAGCACAGCAAATGAATACCAAGTCGGGATATTTCCGTTGTAGCGTGAGAAGATGGTGGAGGGACTGGGCTTGGACTGGACTGGACTAGACTTGAGAAGAAAGTCAAGTCAAGCCAAGTCAAGTTCAAGTAAGTCGATCGTTCTGCCGAGGATACCCCACGTCGCGACCGGTGCCGGATCTGCCGCTGACTCGTGGTCCTGAGCGAAAGCGGCGAGTAATTACGAGAAAGCTTAAGCGTCTTTCCAGGGGATAGGTAGGGAAGGTGATATTAAAGGGGGTGTGTAGTGAGGAAGGAGAGGGGATGTTGAGTTCAGTTGAGCTGAACTGAACTGAGTCGACAACTCGAATGGATGAATTAAGTTGGTTTGAAGCAAAGTGATGCGATGCGATAAAATGGGGATGTCAAGTGGATGTGAAGGGGGAAAATGGGAGAGGGTCACCGATTATCTGATGACTGGGGGTCTCTTTTTTTCCTTTCCTTTCTTTTCTCTCTTGGGTAAGACGCAGGAGAAAGAAAGCAGAGAAAAATCGGAATTCGTATGCACCCATATGATGAAGGAGCCCGAGCAAAAGGAAGTGGCATATGAACGGGAGGCCCCTGTCCCCTGTCAACCTGGGATGGGATGGGAATGGGATAGGATAATGGATTTACTTACTACTGCGTGCTGCAACCTGCTGGCTGGGTCTGGTCTGGGCTTGGCTGGACCTGGCTGGGATGTGGTCTTTGCTTTGCTCATCAATCTCCCCTTGCTAGGTTCATAATTATTACACACACTCAAACACATACGCGCGCAGCATAAGACAGACATTCCCAAAAATGGCTTGCAGTATCAATTGTGGCGGAGGGTGCAAGTAATTGAGGTGAGAGGGTTGCTTGCACTGCCAAAAATAAACAGAAATATAATCACAATAAACGGTGTGATTGGATCCCAGGTGCCTCGATTGTGCTGATGTAGGTAGGTATCATCTGTCTGTGCAATCAATCAATCAAACGGTGGGATAACCGCTCCTCTGCCCATCTTCCGATCTTCATGGGTCATCACATTCGAGTGTTGTCCTCTGTCCCCCCTCCCCCCCGAGAAGCACAACACGACTGTAACGCGAGCTGCCTGAGGGACATCACGTCCACGAAAGCGTCAAGGAAGCCCAGCAAGGTGGTGGAAATCGACCAGGGGAAGTGAGCATAGTAGAGCAGGGGTAGTAACCGCGTGCCCGGCGTTTTTTTGGCACAAGTCCCACCCAGAAAACCACCCCGTACTGGATCAAGGGCTCAAGGAATGCCCACCCTACCAGGGAGAGAAGTGTCTCCTCCACTAGTACAGTGCGCAAGGAGGATCCCTGACTTCTGGCAGCAGATCTGCGGCCTTTTCCAATGCTAGGACCAATCAATCCTTGGGGTGGCTGGTTCCTCCACTAGAAGAGACGTCCAGGATGCTTGTGTTGAATGCAGCTCGGGGCTTGGCTAATAATTTCCAAAGAGGGGTTAGACAGGTTAGTTGCCGATTTTCCAGCTTGTCGACAGGGTGCCAATGAAAGAGGTCATCGATCAAAGAGAATGGGGTCTCCGGGCACGCGGATTGCCACTGCCGATTGAAGAGGAGAGATTGCCAAATCCTCTTGTGACCTGAACTGACTCGGACCAGGAATACCTTATTAACTTTTATCAGTAATCAAAGAAGACAAGATAGAGAGAGCACGGATGCAGATGCTGAGGCCTCAATAACGTGGCGGCAAGGTCGTAGATAATGGGTGTGAATGAGCCCGGCGTCGTGGTTCCCAGGGCACTAGTCGCAAGCCAAGCTCAAGGATGGATCACTTTATTCTCCGCGACACGGTTGTGTAACGACACTTTTGCTGTGCTGCGTCTGCGCGACACCCGCGATGCCATCATGGCAGTGGCAGGTAAGCTTGTGGCGATGGACCAATGTAGGACAGTACCTAACTATGTATGTGGAATCCACGAGTCCCTGACGTGCAGGTCATATTCTTTAGCAAAGCTTTGGTCTTTGGATGCCGGCGCCGTTGATCGGGCTAAAGATTCCGTATCCGCCTCGATCGTGTTGGCTTCAGGGGATGGCAGCTCTCTAGACTCTAGCTCAGCCCTAGAAGATGGTTACCTACCTCTCATGTCTTGAGATGATCCAGCGCTCCGGTGAAAGGGTGAAACGGCGTCGGAAGCAGCACCAATGTCTACGCCGCGTCGTCAGCGACCTCAATCGCCATCCGCTGTGCTGGCATGCCATACCCTGAATTGTGGCTTATACTGTAACATTAGCAGAAGCAAAAGCAACAGCAACGCAATCTCAACAGAATGTATTGCACCAATACACCTCGTGATTGAGTCTGGGGTGATGCATTAAAGACCCGGTTCAATTATCCCGTACAGAGTTGGGAGGATGGTATGGCAACACACAAAGTTGGTAAACGTCAATCGAGTCAGCTGTTCCCCCCTATAACTTTTGGAATACTGTACAGACGGACCTTACCCAACCTAATTCCACACGCTGTCGTCAATAACTTTGATCAAGCACCTTGATAAGCACAAGCCTCGCTAATCACAATTGAGCGAGAGCTGATATATTGAGATGGAGACAATTGCGTAAGTAGATCTCTAATACCCATCTATAATTAATCAATACAGCCATTGATTTACCTAGTACCGGGCATTTTATTACCTGCTACCAGGTACTGAGTGGCCTAAGATTAAACCCATCTCACATCCTGCCTGAAGCTAACTTAGGCCGTTGGCACTTGCTCTACCTTACAAGACAGAAGTGGAGAAGGTCAACTCTCAACCTCTTGTCAATTAACCAACTGCCTACAACCTAAATCGTCAATTAAAAAAATACCCACCAAGTCATCTCCTTAATGATTGCAGAGCACATCGCTAGCCAGAAACGTCGGCTATCATATCAATCAAAATGATCGATTATCGTCATACAGAGACAGCGTCGAGGCATGAGCCGCCTCTTGGCTTCTCCAGCCTTTGGTGATCGAGCCACACTGTTCCGAGATCCTGGCAGCCATGATACTTTTCTAGTCGAATGATCTGTCCCAGAAACTTCAGGGTCTATTTAAACAAGATCCTAAGCGACCCGAACATCTGGGATGAACTAAAAGGGGGACTAAGATGCCCCAAAGAGGCACAGTAGTCCTAGCTTGTTGGTGTCTCTCTACGGTAATTAGTGGATTGCTTTTTTTTTTTTTTTTTTTTTTTTTTGCTAGCCAGGCACCTCAGCTAACTTGTTCGTCAGTTCACTGTATGAGAGTTTAGATACGACTCCTTGTCAAGCGACACCGCATTCGAAAACACTGCAGTATCAGTACTGTCACTTCTCCCGCTGCACACCGCGATGCATCAATACGGTGTCTGACAACAACTGTGCAGATGCTTCGGTCTTTGAGCCAATAGACGTCCAGCATCACCCAACCAAGCGACTTCGTCAGGCAAACAGGGACCTTGGATGATCCTTCGATTAGAAAAAGCATTAACTCTCCATGTTAATGTTGCCCGGCCGGTCCAAGCTCCTCGTCAACCACAAACCCAACTTGCCACTGTTTATGGACCGCAACATGACACACTAGACGTTGCACAACCCGAATGGAAACATCCAAGAAGGCTCCACGTGTTGACATGGCTTTGTGTCCCTCTGAGCTTGCGAGACAGACTTGACTACTACTCACGTGGAGTACCCACTGATGCGCAACCCATGCCGATTCCAGCCCTTGTGGTGAGGTGGCTGGGCCCCTGTGCGACTTTTACGAGTGATAGGTTCTTTGCGACATTGTCCCACCGCTGTTGGTTACCATCTGTCTCAATGGCCAGATTTGCAACGTCGAGGCTCCCAGGATTCCCAGCACTGTGTTGAGGATACCCACACCTTCAAGACAGACGTCAAGCTCAGCAATTTTGCTTGTGCACCTGAATGCGGGCGGAACAGCTCTTCGTTTCCTTCTTGGCGTATTTGCATAATGGCCTGGGCTCATTATCCAATTTGAGAATTGGGCTTATCCAATTGATTACCAAAGTCTACATACATGCCATTTGCCTCTGTTGAAGATTACACGTATTGTTCGCTTCTCAGAGATCCAAAATATATCAAGCGCAGGGTCTTTGCTTCACAATCTTATCGGCAGGATAAGAAGCGCGTGGTGTCAGAGATTGCATTGTGGGGGAATAGCACACCAGTGTTGCGTGCGGTTGGGTCACTTGGGCGCCAGTTCACGCGTCCGCATATCAAGCAAGGGCAACCCCAATGCGTCTAGCTCATCTGTCATGCAGCAATTGAGTTGTTGCTTCAGCCCTGACTCGGGTTTACCACTACATTGCTGTCCACACATGCTCTTCTGGCCATGGTAGATTGATTTCAATGTTAGTGCTTCTCAAGTTTGCGGGGAATCAAACTTGGAACACTTTTGCTGGTCTACAAATGACTGCCGGCATGAACCAACATTTAAACTGGCTTCTTGTATTGTCGACAGGCGCGGTTTTGCGCGGGGTTCTGTTCACCTCTACCTCCCCCCTCCTGGATGTTTTGGTGAATGCAACCCCCTCCTGGTTCTCGTCTTGACCGCCTTCGATGCATTCATCCGAACATCCAATTGTTACGCAGGGCGAGCCTGCAGACAGACAAATGATAAAAGCAAGCATGATTGATTTCTTTTGCGACATTACTTTGAACATGGGTCCATGGAAAATGAGACAGTTTGCCAACTCTGCTCTGCAAGGAAGGAATTGCTCAGATGTACAAGACGCCAGGGTTGGGCACCGTATGCACACAGACCGGAGAACGATATTCGAAGCTCTCGATTTCTGGACTCTGGCCCACATCCACGATCAAAGAATTCTTGGACAAAACATCCACAATGTCAAGGCGGTGAGCAGTCCAAACCAACAGTGACGCTTCATCAGCGCAACACGACACGGAATACAGTCACTGGTAAAGACCGTGGCTCAATTCACTCTGGTTGCCGTATGGGTACTTACCAGCCATTCATTCAAGCAAGAAACCCTGAGCGGCGCACCACAGCGATACCAATCCGCTGGAAACTGCGCGAGGGCTTGTGGCTCTTGTGCTTAACTGCAAATGGGTTAACCTGTCCTGCCAAGTCTCCAATCACAGGGGTGTACATAGAAGATGACGGTTGTCGGCTTGAGCGTTCCCACTAACTAGACCCAGAGTCAATCTGGTGGATGATGAGTTTGTCAATCCAAAGGCAATCGACTCATTTCGTTGGTAGAACAGATCCAACAGTTGATAAAAGTATCAACGACGAATATTTGAGCGAGTAAAAGCCGAAACGACATCGAGTAATACCCAGACGGGGCAGTGTGTGAACAACCCACACAAGGTATATTCCTGGTTGCTAAAAACTCCTGCATGTACAGTCAAAGGCCAAGAAGCTGCGAAGGACGTCGACACTGACATTCAATCCATACGCGTGTGGGGCCTTGGCATAGCCTTTATTGCAAATCATTTAACAAGGGATATTCTCAGTCAGTTTCGGTACAATCAATTACCATGCAGATGGATCGAATCTGATGAGCCAATGCTGGACCAGGGGCATCCGTTTTCTTGTGCCGCTCGTCAACAAGCTAGATGATGGCCTAGTGCCATCAGGATGCTGTTCAATATCGGAAACTCTCAAGCATGAAACTTTCCTGCTGGACGTTTCTTAAGTCGATCATTTTGTTTCTCGTTCCCCAGCGTCGCACAGATACCAACATCTCGGAAACACAACAAGCCGGGCTTTATCCACCTTGAGTCAAGGGTGGGAAAACACGCAGCAGGACCTTTGGCAGCCAGTAGTTAGCGTTGCTTTGAGGACCTTAGCTCCAAGTGACCCAGCAGATCTTGAACCACACAGGACTCATGAGTCGGTGGATGTCACTTGCATATCCAGGAACGTGTGAGGCTACGGCAAGCCATCGATTGTGACGGTGGACGGCAGTCGACTTAGTCCACGTTGACAGTGTCTCTGATCCCCCAGCAAACGTGGACTAGTCAGAAGCCGGCCCAACTACGATCTCTGGCCCTCCCGTGGTCCTGGGAATCTCCCGTACGCCGGTGTCTTGTCATGCGCAATATCAACGACAAGCGCAGAGCACGACAGCCACCGGCCAACCTTGCTTTGATTGTCCAAAATTTCAGTCAGCGTTTTTCGCCGATGGTGCGAAGGGCACTGTTACAGGTGACCAGTCATCTTACTGATCTACGGACCAATCTCACTTCTTCTAAATGATTGTATCAGGGCCCACCACACACCGTGAGAACACTCAGATCTTGGTGGGCTGAGCAGCGCTAGCGATCTGCAGAACGGTGGGCGCAAAGCCAGACGACTCAGCTCATTAGCGTATGTCGAATTGGACATTGGACTTGGGTTTCTACTCCGTACATTGCCCTGCTAGCGCACACCTCACGATTCAGGGTGGTCAACCTCCACTGTCAAGGTCTATCCATTTCTGTTGCTTCGGAAATGATTATGAGCCCAGTTTATTATTATGGTAATGAACAGTCCCTTGAGTTCGGCAGCGGCCGGAATGGGTTGCAAAGCTACATTTCCAGGTCCTTGCTATCCTGCCCGGACTCCTATCACCAGTTCGGTGCCGAGTTTAAACTGACTCGACATTCATGTACCAACCAAAGTTTGAACAAGAACGTGTGGCTTCAAATTATGAAACGCAGGCGGCTGCGTCGCACAGGAATGTCATGGGCGACCCTGCTGTTCAATTTAACCTGGGCGGTGATAAAGAAGACATCAAGTACTGGAGTCTTAGCCGCGTTCCTGGATTCTTGACATGATGGTGCTGATATCGAATAAACTTGTGGCACAAAGCAGCTTCTAATACTAAGATCTGATGCTGGCGATTCCAGCCACACTGCATGTGTAGGCTATTTGCTGATACAGCAGCTAATATCTCACTCAAGGCTGACAAGTCGACATGTCGTCCCGTCACTCGCAGATGGGTGCTGTGCTGTTTCTTTTGCTCCCACCAGAGGCTAGGCTGCCCACAACCCATGTGCTTCTTGCAAACAAGGTCGGTTCGATGCACTATCCGATACTCTGTACGGAGTATTGGGGTAGGAATAGGAGGCGTGAAGTAAAATGAAAGACTGATGGCGAGACAATACGATGCCGACGGCAGTGTTTGACCGGCATCTCAGTCCGCCACCGACGCAATCAACGGCTGATACTGAACTCCACGACTTCAGGTCTGCAGCATTCTCTTCTACGAACATGGAATATCACGATCGGAAAGACCCAATATTGCGAGGATAGGAGTGTCCACTCAAACCAAATACTGTACATGTTGTACTGTACGGTGCTCAAGACGGCAGTCTTAGGTTCAGTCCCAACAGCATGGGGCCCTCTGCAGGTTGTGGATACCCAGCCCATGCAGCGCAGCAGTAGAGACCAGGAGGCCCGTCTAGCGCCCCCGTGATGGTTTGCAACAGCAAGGCCACTGAAAGTCGTCTGGCTACTGCGGCTCGCATGTGTACTTGGCAGTTGGGTTCTCTTCCGCACTGATGCACACTGTTGAATCGTTGTCAAGCGCCCGAATTTGTTCGCTCGCATCAAAGACGATACGATACCTCCCTCAAATTCAGCGGAAAGTGACGTAGCGCGTGTTCTGTCCTGACAAACAGACGGACCGCCATTGAGTCAGGAAAGTTTGCTGCATATGGGGGTGCGACAACTAAGATATGTACATACATGACCGGGGAAGCGGATATTGGTACATTGTTGACGGTGACATCCAAGAGATTCCCATGACTGGGTGTCAAAGCAGGGCTATCTGAGAATTGTCAAAGAGGGGTCTCGAATTGCCAGCGGAACGGAACCCTGAACAGAAAAGGGAAGTCGTATGCGTCCATTGCGTTGGAACAGCATAATGACTTGCAAACACACCGACAGATGGATGGGATGTGTCTCTGTCTCGCTCTGGGGCTCGCCGCGGCAAGCGACCAAAGAGTATGTGCATACATACATACATACATACATACATACTGTAACCTACAATACAGTCACATATCACAATCTTGGATATCAAACAAAACATAATGACATGATACGGTTTTACCATACCATACCATGCACGTCTGCATATGAAGGAAAGTTAAGCACGGCACGACGCGATTATTAACACTGACTGCGTGGTGATCCGGGCTGGCCTCTCAAGTCGTCAGGTCAATCCCGTCGCGTCTGGAGAAAGCTTGGACTGGCAAGGCAAGGACCAAGGAAGGGATAGATACAGGGGTTGGAGAAACATACTGTAGCATTGTTCAATCCATGGAGCACCAGGTCTCTGGGAAATGCCACGCCTAATCATAAAGTAGAAATCGAGCCGGAGCCACGCCGAACTCAAGCTCTTACCCTCATTCCTGGGGTGCATCGACGGCGGCTGAGACACTTGGACTCAGTGACACTGGATCTTGGCCGATCCGTACACTCGTCTTCAGCCTTTGGTCCCCTGTCATTCTACCATTGGTGTATTGGTGGCTGCCTTTTCCTGTTATCCCTGCATATGGCGGAAACTGAACAGCCTCTCCTACGGGTCTCATTCTTGTTCGTTTTTTCCCACTCTCTTTGTTACGGAGACCGTGATTGTCAGTCAATCTCTGTTTACTGTACACATGCCTACTTGCCATGGTCCTGAGGCGCTGGGGCTGGTTGGACCAGTCCATACTCCGAATATTTTCGGTGTTCAATGAGTCTCCATGATGGCAAACATGGCACGTTTGAAATGCCTCAATCGCAGCCCAGGAGGCTGACATTGGCAATGTTTATTTCGGTTGACATGGTCGATCGGGTGGGTGGCTCCGAAACCTGGCGTCGTGTCTAAGAAACAATAGAAGAGATAATTCATCTTAGGCTGTTCTGGAACGTTGGGCAGTTTAGCACTCGGCGAAACCGTCTTGGTCAGCACCACTCAGCCTCAACCCGTCGGCCAATTTGCGCCGACTCGTGCTATCTCATGTCGCGCCGACATACCATACCATATCGCGATATTGTTGCCGTCTTTGTGCGTCGAGGCAATGTCATTCAACTGCAGAATTCTATGTGCGTCACTGGCGAATTTCAATCGGGGCTAGCATGGTTCCGATGGTTCTATTCGCACCACCAGCTGCCACTTCGATATTCCACCAGAACAGCGTCCATTCCTTAGCCAGGGGCACGGCGGGTCTATTCTCGCCGATCTGATCATTATGGCTTCTTTGGCTACCCTGCACTTGGATTGTTGATGCTATCTTTTTCAAATCATTATACTGGTAGGTTTGGGATACTCTTAGTCGTAAGCTATTACTTCAAGCCTTTGACACCTGTCTGTCTCTGTTTTTGTTGGAGAAAACCATGCCAAATCAATGTCAAAAACAGAATTGAGTGTTTGATTCATCACTGTGATGTTTGTTCGTCTCTGTACAGATTACCTCGCAAGCACGTATCTGTTGCATAAATTCATTGTAATGGTCTGTCAGTGAAGTATCATGTCGCTCGCTGTAGGGGACACATATACTACTGCACATCGTTGATGACGATCGTCGAGCTTATCTTCCTCGATGTAGCAACCATATCCGAGCCTACGCATGTATCACGAACGTTGGGCATTAGCAAACGTAACCCAACCATCAGTGGTATCCCGGTATCCCACATGTCTGCCTGGTAGCCACTCCAGGTTCTCAGCAATGTTTGTTTCGTACCTATGTACTGTGTTTGTTACCGTACAGCAGCTATCTCAACGGGGTTATGTAGGGATAACCCAGTGCAGACAGCGCTTAGAAGACACTCGGGACGTTCAAGATCCTGGATACTTGGTGCTAGAAATAACATAGGTGAGAGTGAACACTGTGACATCCTGCCCCAGGTGATATGGCGAGAATGTCAACTGCATTGGATAACAAGCTGGAGTTTGGCTTCAGCATGTCGAACTGAGGAGTTTGACCAAAAGATACTGACCTGAGAATCGACAAGGTCTGAGATACTTCTAGGGAACTGGTGATGAGACAAGATGGCAATAATTCATCGAACAAGGGCTGTAGCCTGCACTCGAACAATGTCTCCCTTCATCCGCAAGCGAGTACAACAGCCCGAACAAACCGTGGTGAGATTGTACTGGCTAGGTTCACTCACATGCCTACTAACAAGGAGTACTCTATGTGACAACAAACTATGAAAACAACGAGGTAACTTTATCAATACAAAAGTGACAACGGCACGAGTATTAACCAGTGCGGCTCGATATTTACCGTCAACTCGCCAACACCGTGACTAGCCAAGCAAGAGCAGCTTTCATGCGAAGCAATGCCAGTCCATCCCGTTCTAAAGAAACGAAGATGTTGTCACGATGGGCTATCGGGGCTTTAGAAGGCCACAAGAAGACACTAAATAGCTAGCTGCCGATGATAAAGCCGAGAATGATGGAAATGCTGGTTGTGTGGCCTTGCCAGCTAATGGTTTATGTTGTCCTCCGAACCAAGTCTGAGGAGTACGCTCTTCCCTGCCTGGGTACCCAAGTAGCATATTGTCATCAACTTCCTACTGGAGTTTTGTTCCGGCATGAGAAAATGGTCGACAGAGGCAGGTCAAGCAATGGCAAAACTGCAGTACTCGTAACGAATGACAAGCTCTCTGCAGAACTGAATCTGAGAGGCGACTGCAACGTATGGACAGCACAACTCGAGGGTCGCTGAACAATGCACAGTTGAGCAGCACATAAGACAAGAAACATCAGACATGCAGAACAGAAGCAAGACTTGTCGAGTCCGATCAGAAGTAAATAGCAATAGCGTAGTTCAAAAGTAAGGAAATCATTCTAAATCCTAAGCACATCACGATAACGGATAATACCAACGTCACACGCCATGAGAGAAAGAAAAGTTTGAGAGAGCTTTGCTAATTGCGAAAACTACAATAGTCTAAATAAACACTCAACTCAAGATTGTCATCGGCCTCCAACGCACAAGGCCTCCAATACGGAAGGATATTTTCCCCTAATCTTCGTCGTTGAGTGTTTTCATACCACTCAACACGACATCATCATCCCAGTCTAAAGCCATTATTTGAGGTAACATGTAAAACGCAGCAATACAATAAGTGCGACCAAATCGGTCAGCAGTCAAACCATAAATCCAGACTCGCAAAAGACGAGTCAAATCTAATCGAGCCACCTGCCCTCTAACAAACAAACGCCTTAGGTGTCATGTACTTTTGAGAATCCGAGGATTCGAAATGCGAGGCTGTCTGATCCATAACGCCATAGGGTCGTAAGACCTCAGGATGGAAGACCATATTACATTACCAACGACGGTTACCGACGGGCATGTTGTTGGCATTGTTGGCGTTGGCTGGAGGTCGAGTCAGCCCGATAGGTGTCTTGCTGATTTAGCGACGACGGAACCCACCTCTGCCACCGCCACGGCCGCGACCCCATCCACCGTAGCCACGACCGCCGCCGCCACCGTATCGGGTCATCTCAACGAGACGAGGGTCGATCTGTTGCTTGGCCTCCTGGAGGACATTGACAAGGTCACGAGCCTGCTTCTGGTCTGGAGAAAGTTATTAGCATAAGCGAAGAAACAGCTGTCGAGCGGAAGATACTCACTATCAGTAGTGAAAAGGGTAATGGCGGTACCCATGGCACCAGCACGACCGGTACGACCAATTCGGTGAATGTAGTCTTCAGAGTTGTTGGGGTAATCGTAGTTCAACACGTGAGTGATGTTGCGCACATCTTTACAAGAATGGTTAGCAGGCGAAGAAGGGGTTTGTATAGCAACGTTCCAGCGTGGAAGATGAAG